TGAAATATATATTTTTTTTGGAAATACAACAAGGTCTTAACTGTTTTAATACCTTCTTTATACAATGATAATGATGATGATGATGATGGTTTTTGTTCTCCTTTTTTAAAGAGATCCAAAACAGAACAAAAACCCCAACAGACACACGTTAATTCTACAATTGTTATTAGTCAGTTTCAATAGTTTTACCAAAAGTGGCATGTTGAAAAAAAACGTCCAGCACATTTGTGGCCCTTCAGAGCCACCTTTTGACAAATTGGAACCACTTTCTCCTTTTTTCCTTAAACCAGAGTATGGTGAACATTGCATCTGACGTGAGCATGGTCGTCCCAGCTGTCAAGTTTGCCCGTGCATTGACCACCGCTTCCAGCAACACGGCAGTCTACATGTATCTATTTGACCACTATCCACAGGTGAGAGCTGGACAAAGGGATCAGATTACGTAAAAATAAAATATGGACGCTGGAAAATATCCCAATATAAAACGAATGGGAACTTTTGCTTGTCAAATCGCTATATCATTTTCGTCATCTTTTAACACCAATTGATATTTTTATCTCTACAGCGAGTGTTCATTTTCTAACTGCTTGACTTAAAGTTTTGGCCACATACGTCATTTGGCTGATTTAGTACTCCCCTCCCCCACCTCCATCCAAGAGTAAGGAAAAAATCAAACCACCAATCAGCTTAACAAATCAAACAAACCAACCAATAACAAACAAATAGACATAAAGAATAGAAAACATCAACCCCACCCCTTTCTCATACCTAGTTACACAAACCTACTCACGCGACTAATTTTTCATTACCAACTCTCTACGATCCTTCCACCCCACATCGTCCTGTCACCACGTCCAAATCGACTACGCCCCCATTCCCTCCTCCTTTCAAATCAATCCCACCATCTCCACCCTCCTCCCATGCACCCTCATCCCTACCTACTACTCTCCTCCCCTTCCCCGGCAGATAACCGCCCCCGAGCTGGGTATTACAGGCACAAGTCACGCCATGGACCTCCTCTACGAGTTCGACTACACGCCCTACCTGTCAGACGCCTTCTCCTACTACGCCTCTGTGTCCCCGCAAGGCGATGTCCAGCTCAAAGACGTCTTCCGCGGAACCCTCACCCAGTTTGCCAAAACTGGAGATCCGTCTCGTGGAGGGGCTGGAACCCCAGCACTTTGGCCCCGTTATGACCCACGGACGGAGCAGTATATGGCCATCAGTAGCTCACCGGAAGTCCGCAGTCGTGTGTACGCCAAGCGAGTTAGTCTGTGGACGGAACTGGTTCCGAAACTGGCGTCTGGTAGTAGGCGGCGCGGTCGATAAAGATCAGCTGAAGGTCAAATGTGAATCCAGCTTCAGGCAGGTCTCAAATTCCAGTCTTCATCTAATGAGGTGTTGACATGCCACAGGGTTCAAATCTTGGCCACTGACAGCACCCTGCGTTACAAGGAGAGTTTGTTTTACGATAAAGAGAGTGAGAGGCCTTTTTGGCCAAATCTTGCAGTTAAATATACTATCTGAAAAGCATCAAGTGTGTTTAATTATTTGCATTCACAATAATTTTGACATGAGTTGGAAAGTGACCTTGAGAAATGCTTTCTTCCTCTCTCACTCCCTCTCTCTCTATCTCTCTCT